GCTGGTCGCTTGACTTCAACCAGAGTTGCACGTAGTATACCAGCGATAATCTGCAGCAACGTTCCAGAATCGACGTCAAATTCCGTAAAAGGAAAACAACTCGATGATTTGAATCAGCGGAACTGCATATGTGACCCTACAGGTGTTGTAGCTAAGTCCGTCAATTTGACACGCGGTGATCGTCACCCAAACTCACAACCCTGCGGTGAACCAAGACCTCGAGTTGTGTTGACTTCTTCCAATGAAGCAGATTTTGTCCTGTTATCAACAGCTCGCCTCCGGATTGGGTCATGTTCCATCGAGCAGTTTAAGGCTGACCTGCAAGAGTATATTGCAAGCATTCTGCTCTTCAGCCATGTCAGTTCACCCATCCTATTCAGAGCCGGAAATAAACTATCTGTGCTTGATTTAGTGCTCTCGAACGAAGGGCTCATTGTTGAGAAGCCAAGACTGGAGAGCCCTCTGGGGTGAAGCGACCATGTAACCATAATTTACGGCCCTGTGTTATGCGGAATAGCCACAAGAACATACTAACTTTTTTCGAACAATCACCCACTACGACATACTGGCAGAACTTGTGGGTGATACCAGCTGGGAGTTTCCGGACGACGGTTCGATTGACAGTGCTTGGATGGAGTTTAAGGCAAGTTCAGTGATCTCATTAAATCTGCGTCGGTTAACAAGCTCCTTCGTTCTGCACGGGCAAAATCATTCCTTCGGAGTAGAACCCGAAAACACATGACAGTAAGAGACGCCGCGTGGCATGTGTATAGAGCGAACACTAGCCCTGACAAGTGGAGTAACTATGTTATGCATCGTAATCACCGTATCTCATTTGTGCGGTAAAGCTATATGTAAACGGAAAGCATCTGTACAGACTTTCAGAAAAGTTTAAAAGCAACTGCTTGGTATAGTTTGTGAACAACGTTTCGCTTGTGACACAAATGCTACCTCAGGCCGAGTGAACCAGTCTAGGATTGGTATAGCACTTATAGCGAACTGGGATAATAATCGCGACGAATGGGATGTAGGCAGAAGGTCAATCGCTTTACAGGTCAACACATCACTCTTAATAGTGCATGGAACGGGCGCACGTGGTCCGCCTTACAAGGTCATACACGTAAGCCCTGTAAACCATTGGTGCGGGGGTGAGGCGGTGTTCATCCTCTGCCCTGGATCCGTCCGCCGACGCTCCTCAGACTGGTCGGGTTAACACAGCTCGCCACATGCTCGAAAGCTCTGCCCCGTACATTTTGTTCACGCATCTGTTCACTTTGTTTATCTCTACCGCCTCTGTAGTCAGCCTCTGGGAGTTAATCGCAACCCCTTTCTAACGATGTTGACATTATACAAGTCGGTCACCTGTCTTGTATCTATCAAGTACATCGCTACTGCCGAGCCCCTTAGTCATGCCACATATTCAAGCTCGTTTCTCGGTGGCCGTGTTATGCGCCTCTTGTGTTCTGCTATCCTTGTGCATAGCTTTCTCGTGATTTGGCCGATTTACACGCGTGCGCAGTCTTTCCAACTAATATTGTAGACGGAATCGGTTGTCCTATCTGCGGAAAGTGGGTCTTTCAAGTGTACTAGTGTAGAGCAAAGCGTTTGACCTTTATGGAAAATTACCCTTTTGTTTTCCATATTTAAGACCCTCTGAATGGCCTCCGAAGTTCCATATTTACAAGGAATATCTACCGTCCCAATCCACTCCGTAGTACGCCTTGGGTGAGGATTTAAAATTCGCTCCAACTGGCGTTTCAGTAACCGCCTCGTGTATCCACTACCAAGCAATTGGTTCATTGCTTCTTTCCGGGCTGTCTTCCTATCTTCTTCCTCAGTGCACAGGGTCTGGGCTCTGTGAAACAGAGATAAGGCGATTCTAGCATACACAGGCTTTTGGTGACCAGAACTATAGTGGAGTAGACCATCTGTGTCCGTCGGCTTAAGAGATCTCATTGTTTTTAGACTACCCCATTTCTGTGAATCAAACAGTCAAGGAATGGCAATGTCCCACTCTCAGATTCTAAAAGTATAGTAAAATTTACAGTCTCCGCCAGCATGTACAGGCGGCTTAGAAAATCGTCTTTCTTATCCCGTTTTATGATAACAAAGGTGTCATCCAAGTAGAGCTACCAAAGTTTCGGTGAGCTACAAGGGTCAGTCAGCGCCATCGGGTCAAACTCTTCCATGTATAAATTTGCCAGTACAGGGATATTTGCGGTCCCACGGCGAGTCCCTGTTTCTGAGTGTATACTCTAGGTTGGAACATGAAATAAGACATGCTAAGACACAATTTCATTCTTTCCGTTATTCGATCTACTGTAAGCTTCGTCCTCCCTCCCAGATTACTGTCCCCAGTTAGACGATGTTTCGCTATCTTCAAAGCATCACATATGCGCCCGTTGGTAAAGAGCGCGCTAACGTCGAAACTGAACATCATTTTATCTGATTCAACGTCAAGCCTCGACACCTTTCTTGTGAAGTCATAAGTTCTTTACGAACGTATTCCTTTGCCCTGTCAAGGGTTGCAATATGCTAGCCAAATATATAGCTAGTTCCTTCGTCTGGGAACCTATACCATCTACAATAGATCGATTGGGTACATCGGGCTGATGAATCTTCGGTAAACCATACACTCTTGGCGGAAGAGATGATTTTTGGTGTGTTGTACCATTTTACCGGTACTAGATACTCCTTTAGGTTCTTTAAGTAATTACCTACCTCTGTCTTGTTCTTATTTATCACTGACATGACTGACTTATTATGGATAACCTTATATGATCCCGTCACCAGGTGCCCCTCCAATTTTGCAAATAATCTGACTTGTTGATGCGTTGGCCTGTAACGCGATTGACCTTCTGCCTACATCCCATTCGTCGCGATTTTTATCCCAGTTCGCTATAAATGCTATACCAATCCTCGAGTGGTTCACTTGGCTTGAGGAAACATTTGTGCCAAAAGCGAAACGTTGCCCACCAAATAAACCAAACGGTTCTTTTCAAACCTTTCTGAAAGCATGAGTACTCGATCCGTTCCAAGTATTTTCCGAGATGTTAAGCTTCTGTACAAACATTTGAACAGCCTCCGGAATGTGTAACGATGTTCCTCCTCCAATATCAGCGTATGGGCGAGGATGCGGTCAACGTTCTACTGGTACAATGTGCCCTAATTTTTTGACTTGCCTCCAGCATTTGTAACATACCTGTCCCATTCTCCCAGATGCCAGTTTGTACGCAAGTCACGTTTACTTCAGCGACCATTTTGAGGAAATTGCTATCGTTGCGTACCCATAGTTCTCCTGGTGTTGACAACATTCCCTGAAAGCACTGCAAGTGGCAGTTACGTGGATAGCTGAACCACTTACGAGATTTTTCCAAAGCGACCACTACGAGCAGCAGGTCCTTAGCATATGGTAGTAAGACATCATTAATTTGATTTTCAAAAGAGGCATCCGTTCAGAGCCAGCCAAGTATCGCCCAGTGACTCTCCTCCCGGTGCTCTCTAAGGTGATGGCATCGATCATAGCTAAAGCTGCAATGGGCTACTTCGTAAGATCTAACGTCATAGCACCGGAGCAACATGAATTCCGTCAGCAACGGTCATATACTACCAAACTACTGCCTGATCGTGGCAGTTGGCCCGAGATAGCCCACAATGGGACAGCATTGAGGTCATCTTCCTAGAGTTCCTAAAGCTTTCGATCGCGTAGATCACCGCATCCTTCTCCAAAAGCTGCAAGCATACGTAGTTGGAAACCCTGTCCTTGGACGGATCGGAAACTTCCTCTTTTAGCGGCGCCTTCAGGTTCGAGTTTCAGGTTCCTTTTCTACTTCAATTGGTGTGGACCGCGGTGTTCCACCAGGGTCGGTGTTGGGGCCGCGGTTATTCTTGTTCTTCCTTAACGACCTTGCGAGTGCCATCAAGTCAAATTTCCTGCTTTTTGCCAATTACATCAAGGTATGGCGGGCACTAGACTGTCAGGAAGAACGCAATATGTTGCGACAAGATTTAGACTACGCTTTTTAGTGGTCAAAGTTAAATCTACTTCCGTTTAACACGGACAAGTGCGAACCCGTGCATGTCCGTCACAAGCTCACGTACGCACATGAACTCGGAGACGATATACTAAACACCGCCTCACAAGGGCGAGAGCTTGGGATGGCAATCCAAGACGTCAGCTGTTCGGCGCAGTCTTTGAAGGCCTCCAAAACCGCCAACCAACACGGTCTGTTACGGAGGGGGTTCGGGAGTTTCGATCCCTCCTTCTTCCCTCAAATGCTCAATGCGTATGTGAGGCCCCATGTAGAGTACGCGATCCAGGCTTGACAACCCTGGTTAAAACGCAACCTGTCACACTGGAGACCGCACAGCGAAGGGCAAGGAAAATGTGGAGGGGTTGTCCCACCTGAAATACCATAGGCGACTGAAAGGCCTTGGAGTGTTCAGCGGAAGATATCGCTGTCTACGAGGTGACTTCATCCTGGAGTTCCAGATTTTGAGAATCATGGTCACGATTACCGCCATCTACTGGAGATTACCTGTAACATAGAATTGAGGGGTCATAAATTGAAACTTGCCAACCAATACAACCGGCTGGAGTGTTGCTGGAATTACTTTTCGCTTCGAGTTCGTCAAGCATGGAACGCTCTTCCGACTTTTGTCATTTCAGCGCCTACGCTAACCATTAGAAAACAGGACTCGACGGTGCGTTACATTATATACATTAACTGATCTGATTGTTATTCATTGAGTGAGAACAAGACGCAGACAAACATTGTGCTCAATAATCCCACGAAGTCCGGTTAGACGGATATGCCTATGTATTAAGCTGGATAATATGGTGAGTCCACAGATGGGTTTTTCACTTTTGTGTAACTTCACTGAACTAACGATATTCTGACAAACAATCTCACGGGACTTGTCAAGCCTTGGCCTTTTTATCCGCATTATACCATTGTTCCATTGTACGTTTGTCAACTAATTTGGCGACCCCAACTTACCCGGTCGTTGTGTTTTCTGTTTGCAGATCGTACAGCACGAACGGCGCGTCGATGGTGGTACATCGATCAGTGAATTCCACTGATCCATTGAGATCGGCAGATATGTCACAGATTGCCAGTAGTCGGTGGGGTAAAGTCGGGCAGGCTGTAGACAGAATGACGACAAATGGAGCACAGGATTAATTACATCATCGGGAAACCTTTTAGTGAAATGGGCTAATTCAGCAGATCACATGACTAGGATTTCGCGGGAATTTTATGGTATGTAAAGTGTGAGCTTACATAGAAGCGATGAGTGTTGCAATCGTTGGGTTTCAGTATAAGCTCGCTGAACGCTATTTTGAACCTGTTCCCAACGAGGTGGAGAGATGTATTCGAATCTTCGTGGAAGCTTAGGTTCAAGCTATAACGCAGTTATGTCCGTGGGTACACTTATATCGATATGACTTGTGAAAACTACATCATTAAGTCCACTCACTACATACTGGTAAGTCAAATGAGTTGTCTGATTCGTGCTGGTTGTGATGGCATGCAGCGATAATTCCCATTCCGTTAGTATTTTCCTTATATGTTAACCGGTTTACGTATCATCCATCTTCAGTAAATGTAAAGTTACTTCGTGAGTTGTTCTAGGGTGGATTGAATGAGCTGTCAAGACAACGGACATCCGGCCACCGTGCTCAAAATACATCAAATTTAGTGATCTTAACTTTTCTGTTCGTAAAGCTAAAAAGATTGTGGTTCGTTGTATATACCATTCCTGCTCTGACTGAAGGATAAGCTAGTGTCAGACTCATGCAGCAACTGGTGATTTGGATTCTCCTTGGAGCCAGAGTAACAATGGTTCACTTTCTTCTGTGCAACCTTTGGTAAAGTCAAAAAGCAATTTGTTCTCTCGCATAACTTTGATCACTTCAGTATTCCGTAGAATGATCATAACGTTTTACGCGAATTCATTCTCACTGCGTCGCGTATTTGGTGCAGGAAGAGCGAGTGAACCGCTCAGCACGATTATATCACGCACCAGGCTCCGATGGCTGGGCCACGTGTTGCGCATGCCAGCACACCGACTCCCACGACGTGCATTGTTTGCGCGTTGTGGGTGCGGTTGGAAGAGGAGGAGGGGAGGCCAAGTGATGACTTGGTCGAGAGAAATGAAAACCCTCACTTCGAAGTTGGCGTCCGTTGGTGCATCCCGACTGCCTGGCTGGGGTCCTAAGGACGGTGAACACGTTTGGTTGGACACACTTGCTGATACGGTTAGGAGCCGGCCCCAATGGCGCTTGTGTTGTGAGTTCCTTTGTCCATCCCCCTCCTGTTTAGCATCCCCCTCCAATCACGATCTCAATCGTTAGGCATAATATGACTTTCCTTTTACGGCAGCCAGCTGTTAGCTCTCCGGAACGATGTCCATCCGTTACTGGGGACTCAGCGGGCGTGCCACTGTTTGTTTGTTTGTTTTTCTTTTCTTTTCTTGCCTTTTGTATTGCGGCACAATAGCTGAGGTGTTTTCCACCTCCAGCTAACGTGTAATGATGATGATGATGATTCTCACTGCGCATCATTCCGTTCTCCCACTGCTTATGCTGAACCGTGCCCCATGCTGAGGCTGATGTTGCTTTCATGATGCTTCTTCGTCGTAGTTGGGCTAAAGCAACTTACACCTAAACTAGGTCTTTTTAATGTGAATAACATTCATTCCACTTTATTTGGTTTGTTCTGCGCACCTGATAATCTTCTCCTAACTTGCACACGTCGCTCATGCTAATTGTGGTAAACTTGCGCAATTTTATCGCATGGTATTTTTTAGATAAGTTTCGGACATTTTGTACTTATTGCCGATTCACTTATAACCAATTTCTTTCATATGCTCATTTATCGAGTATTGATGTCGTCATATGCGTTTACTTTATTCGATATCGGCATTTCGAATGATTGCCTGTTGTTTGACATCCCCGGTGTGGCTGCGCTTGATGTGCATGTTGACAAGGTGCCTACCTGTCTATTACCCACTACCTCGTCCATCTGGCTTCAGGAGACAGTTGGTCGTTGCTGGAGGAGACGGGGTGCACGGTCTTTGTGGCTGTGCTAGGCTCAAAGAGCGGTTCCATGCACTCAGTGTGGAGCGACCACGGTTCAGCCACCTCCATGTGTGCGTTTGATTCCCAACTACAGCGTGCTAGTGTTTACCTGTGAAGGAGTGTGGGCCGGCTCCTTTGATGACACGTGGCTCTCATTCACATGCCTCCCGGTCTTATTCCTTCGGGTTTACACTGGATATGGGGTGTGTGGATGGAGCTGTGTGTGATGCAGCGCAAGCCACCCATGGTCCCTCTGTAGGCACAGGCGTCCTGTGGCTTGCCACAGTGACAGGCAAATCCGAAACCGGATGCCGCCAACCATATGCTGAACCTTGGTTGTGTGATCAATGGAGTGCAATTCCGGAGGTTACATTCGATCCAGAAAACCTCTCCTCAATTTCGCTGTTGCTTGCTAATTTCAGTAACCTAAGTATTCTTCCTCCGAAGTTCTACATACAGTTTTTCTTTTGTTACGTAATGGTTTTGGAAAACCGTATTCCTCCTGCACGTTTCAGTACACCTGTCGCGCTTTTTCGCAACTTAGTCAGATCTTTTGACGTCCACAGTGAGAGTATAAAGATTGAATATGCACCCATTCTTGTATATCAGACATATAGCGTATGGCATAGAAAAGGAGGTTAATCAAAGACGAAGACGTGAAACCCAGTTTCATTTCAGTTGCAATTGGCCCCAACCTCAAATTGAGGTTCCAGAGAGAATTGGACTCTAGCCTGGGAGACACAAGTGGACTAAGATAGACCAGAGCTAATGTAATGGAAGACGTTTGCAACAGTTTCTACGCTCTTTGGGTCCAGTCCCGTCCCCTGGATCTCCCAAAATTGCGGCGCCGGCCCACGACCGAAGTCCGCTGGCATTCACCTTCGGTTCACGAAATTGGACCGCACAATGCAAATCGCGAATGAAGCACAAACTTACCCGTTATTTTGCTAAATGAGCGGCAATACACTTCTAACTTGTCCTTTGTGTGGTCGTCTGATGACAATCGATCATGAGTCGAGATTAATGGCACTTAATGCACTCACGATGGGAACGTTTACCATTGTGTAGTGCACATTTGCGCATCCTATTAAGCAGTGCTAATAAAGTGATCGCTAACAAATTGGTTATTTCAAGATCGATCGAGTTTTGAACTTAATGTTGGCATGAGAAACATTCTGCCAGACGAAGTACGCTCCAGACATAGGATATCCAAAGAGTCATAGGCCAAGTGTGCGCATACGAGTTTACGCTTCCGTCTACTGGACGAAGTTGCTATCATTCAGTAATTTCTCACAATATTTCACACGATCAGCCATAAATAGACACATAAACGTTAGCAAAATTTAGTGTCAAACTGTCATCAACAAATGACAACTGTTGCCAAACTCTCGCTAATTTGCCATGGAAAAGCACTAGATTGGTAAGTTTAAATTGATAACATACGTTTCACGTCAAATTACTAAATCAAAAAAGATAAATAAATGACAATCTGATTGAGCTAGTTTGGCGTACCTGACGCTTGTAAGTTTTGACTCTTGCACGGAAATATTCCTGTTGTCAACTCAATTTGTGCTGAATGAAGGAGTAGAACCGTTTGAATTAAGCAACCTAGTATTTAACTGAGCGTTCGTCGCAGCCCGTTCCAAATCAGATAGATGTTCGCGTGCTCGGAAAAGCACTAGATTGCAATTGTAGCCCGTTGAGTATCATCATTAGTGCGCATCCATCGGATCCTTCAGAATTCGAATCCATGACCACCAGTTGCTTGCATTGACAATCAATAGCTTATGCACTGGGCCACACGGGACAGTGTCGGACCGTCATGATTTGCATGCGAACAGCGATATAGCGCGTCCTATGCCTCACTGTCATGCAAGTTTCTAAGTGCTATGTCGTGCCCACCTGCTGTCAGTGGATCTCGTGTCTTTCCGGGGCACCCTTGTCCCTTGCAATAGAGCATAAGACGCGCTGCATGGCAGTTGGCTTGCAAATCTTAACGGTCCGACATCATCCCCTGTAACCAATGCGAAGCGGGCGTGACGGATACAATTGCTGGGCTCGGATTGGCCGATATTCCTGTGAGTGATACACCATTTGTTTAAGTGAAGCAAAAGAGGACCCTCATAGATTCAGAAGGGTCTTTACTTATGGACTTGTCCAGGCAACTTATATCGAGGAGTTTCGCTTCCCAAACATGCAGTGATTTTCGCCGGCTTAAATTTGCTGAATAATCGCTTGTCCCTGAAGGACTCGGTTGCGCGACACCGGCCTCCATCATTTAAGAGAAGCAGTGCAAATCCATTCGGTCACGATGATTGCGACTCAGAGCCAGAATCATCCTAGTGCCTATCGACAGTAACTCGGTTGAAAACAGCGAGGAAGCAGTCATAGTTAACTTACGTTAAAATGGGAACGGGCACCCCAGTAAATCTCCTCTCGTACAGATTTGTGAAGTAGATCACATAATGACAACAGCAACCGCATACAGCATAACTTAAACTGTGCATGGTAATCAGGACCCGGAAATCCACGCGCAGCCGTATAAGGAGACCGAAGATAGGAAGCCAGCAACTTCTCAAAAAAATGCTAGTGGCTGACCAATCAACGGTCGTTTCATTCTACGCTTTGCATACGAGATGAATAAGCAGTCGTGGACAGTTAACGGCAGCGTATCAGAGTGTGGAGCGTTCTGGGCTTTTATGTGCTTCTCCACCTTCTAGAGAATGGAAGCAAGTTTCGTAGCTGGCTGACATCAGAAATTCGCTTGAAAGTAGCAGGAACGCAACCACGTTCTATGGACATGCCAGTGGGGACGCAAATCTCAATGAAAACACCAACCGTAGGACCCGACTCTGTGAGGACTTCAACAGTAGCCGTAAATACCAGAAGGTACATAGCAGAGCATGAGCGACCAGCGGGATTCGGAGCAGCTGATACAAGAATATATCCCAATTTCATCTCGAAATCCTGAAACGGATCGAAAATAGATTAGTCGCCGATCCTTCATCCGTCAAACTAAACACACTCACTTCCTCCATCACATCCAACACGCTTCTGGTCTCCA